GCTGTCCGACATGATACTGAGACAAAGAGACAGCATTTTTATGGAAATGTACAGCAGTACTGCCTATATAATGCAGTATCTACTGTGTTAATAAAACCCACACATGAATACAAACATCGTGAAGTTGTGTCTTTTATAAGATCTTGGTTAATACTAGTGTGTAAAACCAATGAGAGCTTAGATTCTCAGCATTACTCACTTCAGTCCAGGGACGTCCAACAAATTAGTGAGTCCAGTCCAATTGATGTCTAGTTTCTGGGAAGAGATAAGACAGCTAAATGTGCTGTGTGTAGCAAATCAATCAGGATTACTCTGAAATCAATAGCCGGAATACAATACTCTACTGAGATCCATAGTGGTCACAGTAATGGGGGTTGAGGGGCAACAAGAAAAAAGGACAAATAGAGGTGAATGTGGATAGACCTACCGGCCGCTGGATGAAAAACATGGTGACTGCACCCACTATGGGAACATCTCCGATCAGAGGCTCAAGAATCACACGCATCATCCCGTGTAGCTAAGGACAGAAGCAGAAAGGATGTCTGTAAAAAATGTGGGTAAACACTAATAGAATGGCACATCTTGAGTTATGCCTGCTATTGACACGCAACATCTTTGTATAAGTGGCAAGCAACACTGTAATTCAGTCAAATAGTTTACATAAGCTTGAAGAAAAGACAGACCTGTATTCCCTTGACTCCAGCTTTGCAGAAGTATCTCTTCACCTCAACGTTGATCTCTACATTGCCAACATAGCTGAGGATACAAGTGAAACAGTGTCATCTAGAATAATGCCTTCTAAAAGCTGTGAGAGGTGACGGCAAATCCAAAGAGCAATGGATATACATTTACCTAATATATAGATCAAGCAGGACTTGTCCTTTGTCGTTCTCGGTGTGAGCCTTGATCCCTACAACCTTCATGGCCTGCAGCAAAGAGAATACACCTTTTCAGCACAATATAAACAACATGCATCATTTGTGTGAAGTTTTACAGCAGTGTCATATTGTATTTAACTTATCAATGGCATCACCTTGTCTCCCATGTCCACTTTTGTGAAGCTGAGGGTTTGGAGGTGGTTGCTTGAGGCTCGGATAGACGGAGCAATGGTTTCCACCAGCAGCTTCTCAAGGTATTGGCCGACAAATGGCCACACCTGCTGCAGCACCTAGGCAGACCAATCAAAACGCTATGGTTATAAGCTGCTTTTATTAGTTAGAGCATAACTGACAGTATTTACACCAGTAGATCGACAGTTGCAATGACAAGGGGTGACAATGCAGCAGAAAGTGGGACTACTATGAACTACTTTGATATTTTAGCCACAGTAACAAAACGATCTGTCAAATGCCTTGGCTTAAAAAAACAAAACAAGAATCACAGCTGTTAGTTGTCTACTTTCTTACCACAATGAATCCTGTGCTGTACATGTGCTCGCTTTTCACAAAATAATGTAATGTGATAATGAATGTTGCTACATAAACATATTAAGTATTTAGTACTTTGTGGAAAGAACTAAAAGCAGAGGCACTGCTTGTTTGTGTGACTGTGGAAAAAAAGAAAACGAGTTGGTTTGAGTCTGGCATAAGTGAAGAGTGAGTCATCAGCCGCCTGCTCTTGGGAGGGATGCAGCTCGAGCAACATGGGAATCTGCTGACCTCCCCTCCAGTAACCAGTCTTAAATCTCTCCTTTGTCTCGCTCTCTGAGCCTTAGATCTCGTGGTCCTGTTAGCATGAACATTTTTATTGCTGTATGTTTATATTATTGGCTGTAGTTTCTCTGGGCATGAAAAGCAAAGGGGGTTAAGGAGGGGGGGACAATGGCTGCTGTTTTATTTAGTTAGAGGGGCAGCTCCTCCCCCTTCCTGTGAGCTAGAATGTAATGAAATGGAAATGTTGAGAGTGTTGCCTGGCACTGAGCCCGCTCTCTGCAGTACAGACATCGTGGCTACAATAATGGGGGTGTGTCTTTTTTATGAAACATGGCAGCCGCAGCAGTGCTACCATCCATCAGCTAGCACCCGCTTTTACCCTAGCATACTCTACCAAGTGTCTATCAGCAGAACAGCTGAACAGACAGGCATGTGTTTGCTGTGGGCTTAATAGGGGGGGAAACCCTAGTGTGTCTTTGCATTTGTAGCACTCTGATAAACCAATAAAATGTACCTTATTCAGCCATTCAACCTTCTCAACATCTGGAAAGCTGACCTGAAAGAAAGAAAAACAATGAGAGTACTTACTTAAATTATGCATAGGGCCTGATAAACACACAACAGGAAAGGGAAGTGATTCAGAGGTTACTAATGCAGGTCTGGAAATGTCATTAATAGCATTTTTTATATAATTTCAGTGCTTTGTGCACCAGGTTTTAAACTGTTTTCCAATATTTATGAAAGAAAAAGGAAAGGAGATAAATGCTGCGACTGTCCAGATTATTTAAATGTAATCAATTGTCTCCTCCATTTCTTTATAAATGTTTAAACATGACATTTGTTTTGCACAACAGAGAGCAATATGGACATGCTCCTTTCTTAATGCTTTAATAAGGAGCCTTCGGCCTGCTTATGCAAGATGAAAATGAAACAAGTACCCACAGGTACCTCATTTGGGTGTGGCAAGATGCTCTGATTAAAAACCAGCCCATGTGGTTTCAGCATTTCCATTTAGGGTAGATTTCCTCAGGATGTATATGTCAAGTATAACTCCTGCACATATTCCATCCAGCTTTTAAGCTGAAATTGCAGTTGCTTAGTTAAAGTCTTGTTATAGTTGTTGGAATGCACTAAAACTGTTGTTGTTTTGATCCAACAAGTTAAGTTTAGAAAAACAAATGTTACCATGTTGGTAACTGGCTTAGCAAAAACAATGGGTAAATATAGCAGAAAAGGACTTCTATACACCTGACTGCATGCATCAATTGCCCATGTTTTATCTGCAACATAAAACAAGTTTTAAAAGGATTATAAAAAGGCACTGACTGACCTAATTGGTTGTGCCTGTATATTATTGTCAATGAGGAAATTATTATTTGGTAAAACCTTTAAACAAATATAAGGGATACCAGGATCCCATAGGATTATTCACATGACTGGAACTAGCCTATGACAGAACAGTTAAGAATAGAGTAAAGCTAATATTTACTGGGATCCTTGTACCTCAGATATTATGATTTTAGGGTCCTCTGCTAAGCGTTGTCTTGCTATACGTAACGTGGGGGTTACATAAGGTCAACATTGGTTAAAGAGGTTAAAGTTGTTTTATTGGGGAGGATTTTTTGATGATAATGTAACACACTGACAAAGGTAGGCTAATTTCTTACCCACGCAGGGAGGTCTCGCTGCTTTTTAGACACTTTCTTGAATGTGTATTCCTCCTCGTTGTTGAGCAGCTGTATGGCTGACTTCAGGCGGTTCTCCTTGGCTTCTCGGGCATGTTTCCATCCCGTGTAGACCATCATCCCGAACACCAAGAGGCTGGTGCTGACACGGTAGTACCCTGCCAGGTAGACGGGCAGCAATGCGCCGAGACATTTTCCAAACGTCCAGAGCACCGCGACTGCGCTGATCCCTTTGGGTTTGGGACCCTCGGCGGGGATCAAGGCTTTCTTCTCGGTGTCCGCTGTGCTCACACACTCGGTGCCCTTCGCTTCACTCGGCGCTGATTTGTCGCTTTCCATTGTTGTATTAGCTAGAAACACTCACTTATGTTACAGTTAGTACAAATATTCAGTTTAAAAGTGCTGGTTAGGACCAAACGGTTACTTAACGTGTCATCTCCAACGTCAGCTAGCTACTGTTTAACTGAGCACCAGTGCACGTCGCGTGTACCCTCGCTAGTACACCGTTTGTCCGAGGCGCATCTTTAATAGTAATATTTGGTATAATTTTTTACTGTCTGAGCACGGGGTCCAGGAGAAGTGGCACATAAATTCTGCCCCACCCATTCCCTTTATCAGGATAAAAACACGCCCCCAGTCTGAAGCAAAAAATCCATCTTTGACTCTTTCGCTGCTGAGGCAAGACACTAATCCAATTTATAGTAATTACCGTTATTACTGCAGCATTACGTTAGCAGAAAGCTACAGTTTCCATATTATTCAAGGGTTCTTTTAATTTTCTATTTTCTATGTAATTTGACCTGCCTGTCGGAGCAAAGCACAGCTGAATATACAAAAAAGTCAACGCTTCCTGTCAGATTGTTAACCCACCAGCACCTCTTGTCAGTTCTTTCTGCTGCTCCAGTTTATTTAAAAACAGCAGACTTGACATTCTTCTCAATCCCTTAAATCCAGTGTGACCACACAAGCCTGGGCTGTGCTTCCAAAGGTACAACAGCAAATATTCCACTTGTTTAAAGAGCCACACGGATATGAGGCTACTGAAGAAGCAGATGGTATTATGTTGAAGTTTACATAGTGACTCCACCCAAATAACTCAAGCAATGGGATGTAAACAGCATTTGCCACAAGAAACTGTGTGTCTCTGGGCATGACTTATTTATCTTACCTGTGTGAACAGAGCATATCAAAGTAAGGCAGCTGTAAACAAAGTGACAGATAACACAAGATTCATTGATAGGCTGTTATTATTTTCCTTCTTTTTTTTTTTAAATATACCATAGTTGGTTTTCACCAGATACACAAGCATATCGTCTTCAAAATGACAGCACAGCAGTATTGAATAAATGGTAATTGGTACATTTGGTACACAAACTGTTAACAGGTCGGTCAGTCTGAAGGAAAATTGTCTTTGTAATGTTGCCATAAAACTGGGTGTCTTTATCCTGCCCTCTGGTGGAGCATTGCAATTGTCAATTATCTGACAATTTTCACTGTTCTGTCTTTAGTTGAGTCTCAGAAAGCATTGAAACAATCTTTTTTTTAAAATCACAGTTAAAGGTGGGGTAGGTAAGTTTGAGAAACCGGCTCGAGATACACTTTTTGTTATATTCCATGGAATGCTCTTAACATCCCGATAGCAATGAATATCTTAAGTGCTTTGACAAAAAATCCATAAAAAAATGTCATCTGTGGAAGCCGTGGTACTGTAAAAAGCACGACCAATCATTTTAGCCAGCCCGGCCAGTTTTATGGCAACATCACAAAGACAATTTTTTCCGGTTGTGTATTTTCAAATTCTAACGCACTCGAGCTGGTTTCTCCAAAATTACCTGCCCCACCTTTAAGAATGCTAGAGTCTGATGTGTGGGTTCTACAGCCCTGCACTTTATCAGTGTGGGAGAGTGGTGATCCTCATGCTTTGACTCACAATAGGGTACGACACCATTGGGGTGGTGGCGTGACTCATGGTGATACCAGGCATCGGCTGCGTCATGGACACTGCCACTGATGCCACAGATACAGTCACCGGGGCCATAGAAACAGGTGGCGCCATTCCTTGGGCAATGGTCTGTACAAGAGCGGCTGACAGGGGGGTGATCTCAGGGTTGAGGTGAGGCAGAGGGACTGAAGGTTGGGCGCTAGTAGGGGGCGCTGAAGGGGCGCCGGAAGAAACTACCATATCTTGCTGGGTGACAGGCCGAGGTTGCAATCCAGCGCTGCTCAGGGTGGTGTGAGTCTGGGCAATGCTATGATTGTAGGAACCTATTGCACCCAAAGGGGGAACCAGACTCTGCTCAGTGGGCACAGGAGTGGAGGACATCGTCATCACCTTGCCCTGGCTGCGGAACTGGGCGTTCTGATCCAGAAGAACCTCATTTGTGGCAATTAGATTTGAAACCTGAGAAACACACAAGACATGGATTAGAAAAAAGTACAAGGCTCCATGAAAGTCCACTGTAAGGAATTCTGGCTTTGCAGCAGAAAAAAGGTTCTTATAAAAGTTGACTTTTGATTAATTATTATAACTGCTTTAGGTCTAAACATTTGCAGAGAGACATGTTTTCTTTACATTAAGTTTGTTCACCAAGTTTAAAACCCAGTTTTAGAAACTGCTAAAACTCTTACATTGATCAACAGTTAAACATAGGACCCTGAATATCTAACATTTCAGGTGCAATTCAAAAGATTATTAGAACGATTAATCGTTAACCAAAATAGTTTATGTTGACAAACCACTAATGTTTCTTCATATATGGTTATGACATTAGATAAGAAGTCCTGGTTTAGATGACAATGATTTGCTTCCACTACACAGCCTTCACAGTAACGGTACATTGCCTATAATTTGGTAGCGAGATATAAATGAAGTCAGTCCTTGTGTGACTCAAAATGACACAAACACTATACAACCTTATTTAATATAGTCCTTTTTACATAACCCAGTGTACAGTATAGATTACAATCATTCAGTACATGAAGCAAACAATAAGATGGATCCGATACAATAGCCCACAATAAATTCTACCTCTGTTGAGCTAATAAAATGTGATTATCTGTTACGACTTTGACTTTGTTAACACATTGTATTGCACTGTGGTATACTGTCAAATGTGGCTGTGTATCTGGTATTGATGGTTTAAAATAAATAAATAATGCTAAATAAATCTATATATATATGTGTGAATATTTTCGAACCTGGATTTCTCATAGGTCTATTTTCTTTTGTTTAAGTTCCAAATTGTGTTTCTTTTTATTTGACCATGTGTTATTCTAACCTGCTTCTTCAACTCTTCCACTCTTTTCCTCAGCAGGCAGTTATCTTCCTCCAGGAACCTGAACTCCAGAGGACGGGGTGGCAAGGTGGCATGAAGTCCCAGCTCGTAGTGCACACCTCCAGTCACATCTGCCAGGCGCAGCCCCTCCAACCGTCGCCTCTTCAACTGTAGAGCAGTGTGGTCCATAGAGGCCTCCAGAGAGCTTGCATCAAACAGCCCACTTTCAAGCAGAGGGTCATACACTGAGCTCCTTTCATACCGTCGTTGGCCTGTAGAATTCATGGACAGACAAGTGCTCATCCCACCTACACCTACCCCCCCAACTCCTGTGATACCGGGATCTCTGCAACCGCCCAGGATGGGGCAGCCCATCCCCATCATGTTACTTCCACTTCCACCTCCCACAAGTCCTTGCATTCCTCCACAGGGACCTCCTGCTCCAACACCTATCCCTCCCCCAGCATTCACCATTCCAGTGGGCCCTGGCCCTATCACGCCACCCACTCCAACCCTTGATGGCTCATATTCAAAGTCTTTTTGGACATGACGAAATTTACACTTATTGCTCCTCTGGCACTCTCCCTTTAGAAAGTCTCTGCAGATAGGGACTTCCCCACGGCTATGGGGGAGATCGATGGGGGACAGGCCTAGTCGTGCTGCAACTTTCCCTCTTAGTCTGAGGGGTAGCTCTCCTGTTTTCTTGTAATAGTCCTCATCCTCTTTAGATCCGTGGACAAAGCGGCAGTTGGAGCGCATACACTCCTTGTTCTGGTGGTCATGACAGAAAATGAATTCATTTTTTTGCACTCCCAAATCTGGAACTTCGTTAAAGTCTGGGTGTTTAAAGCGGCAGCGCTTTCCCCTCTTGCAGACATTGCGTATGAAGTCCCTGCAGACACCTCCTATTGCCAGTCCTGAGCCTTGCCCCCCACCTCCACCATTCCCACAACTGGTACCATTTCCGAGAGCTCCTCCTCCCCCCATGCTCCCAGAGCCGTTGCCACCTCCTCCTGAGCCCCCTCTGCCCTCGGCTGAGCCCCCTGCAGACCCAGGTCCTCCTTCCTCACCCAGACTACCCCCACTCCCACTGCCACCTGACAGGTAGGAGCTGTCCCGATCAGGCATGGCGCTTGGCCCAGCTCAAGGAGAAAACAGCACTCATGTGTGTGAGGGGGGTGGGCGTGACCTGCCAAATATGAAAAAAATACAGGTGAACAATACAGGAATAGTTACATTTTTTTCTTTAAAGTATTGCGATTTCCTATTTAATGATCTACAAGACAAATCATATAACCAAAGTTAGATGTTATCTTCACAGATATAGAATAATTTAGATGTGTATGACCCTGCTATGTCCATCATTTAATCTGTTATGGTTCAACTTTATATGGTTAGGGCGGAAATATTAGCACTGGAGAACACCTGGTAAATAATAAATAGTACTGTTGTTGATGTTGTTTGTTGTTGTTGCCACAAGTTTGGCAAAAATAACACAAATGGATTCACATCATGCTTAGCTAAATTGAGGGTAGCTGGCAATGAATAAGGCACACTCTCGTATCGTGTACCTGATTAAGATACCTTAACAGTAACCTATATTAAGATCGTATTAGCTAGCGAGCGGTGTCTAGCTAACTGGCTAAGTGCTAATGGTGTCTTACCAAATAGAAACTAGAAGCAGGATCCAGAGAATAGTCAAGGGACTCCCACGCAGAAACGTTCTGCTCCTATCCCCTAAATAATGATACAGCTGTCTCGACTGACAAAAGCATTAAGCTACTTATTTTTATTATTGGAAATGTCTTCGAGGCCCTTGGTGCTGTTTACCACATTTCCTAATGCATGAATGCTACCGACGAAGAAGACAGGCATCTTCTTCTCCGTTTCTTATGTGTGTTGTTCTGCCCTCTAGTGACGATAGTGATCAAATGCACTGAAGTATGTTTTTCACTTTGTTTTCCTTTTGACTGAATCTATCAAATCATTACACGGTTTAGCTGTTTTATAGAACACTTAGGCATTCCTCTTGCTAAGCGAAGCAGAGCTAAGTTAAAAAAAACAGCTTTGGAAGGGGCTTTATTTATTTGATACACTTTCACCACCAACCACCGATGTGCCTTATTTTTGGTTGAAATAGGCGGAACAACTTCTCAAAGCTGCAGGTAAACTAAACCCGTGCCTCGGGTTGGACAGAGTAGCATCCACGACTGAAAGCTGCTGCTGCTGACGTGTGGACTAGCAGTAGCATATATTATGCATGAAGATGAGCTGTTGAACCGCAATATCGTTGTACTTCCAGGTAACTTGTGTGTGTGTTGAAGTTCCTCATTTGTGCTCAGACGCCCAGCATGGCAGTGCAATGTGTTTTCCACTTGATGCAAGCCTTTTTTGTCCTGCTACTCTGCTTATCTGAAGCCTCAGAGTTTAGAAGAAATTACTATGATACTCTCAATGTTGAGACCACAGCCACTGACAGACAGATAAAGAAGGCTTTCCGCCATCTGGCTGTAAAATACCACCCTGATAAGAACAAGAGTACCGACGCAGAGAAGACTTTCAGAGAGATTGCTGAAGGTAAACAAGCCTGCAACACACTTGGCCTTTTACAATGAAATGTATATTAGATATATATACAGATGTGGGAAGTAACTAAGTAGATTTACTGAAGGAATGTACTTAAGTACTATTTTGAGGTACTTGTACTTTACTTGATTATTTCCATGTTATGCTACTTTGTACTTCTACCCCACCATAACTCATCGTGTACTTTTACTCCACTAAATGTATTTAATACCTTTAGTTGCTTTCAAAATGTTTGATTAATAATGTGAAATATAAACAACAATTAAATAAGACTTTAGTTACACATGGAGTAAATTCACAAGCTACCCTGCTGTATACAAAGTCATTCAAACTAGCTGTACCTATACCAGCTTTGATAACACTTAAATGCATCGATAATTATAATCAAAACATATCATATGTAATATTCTGAAATGGACCAATCTGCATAATGAGTACTTTTACTTTTGGTACTTAACGTTTATTTTGATGCTAATACTTTTCTACTTTTACTTGAGTAACATTTTAAGTTCAAGACTTTTACTTGTAAGACAGTATTTCTACACTCTGGTACTTCTACTTTTACAAGTACTTCAAGATCTGTACTTCGCCCATCTCTGTATATACGCTTATTTTACTAATGACATTGCTTTTCATTACGTTTAAAACAGCTATAGAGATAGCTAATTCTGATTCAGCTAATTCTGATGCAGTTAATACAACAGCGCTGCAATCAATCCAATCATCATGTAGGTTATAGGTTCAGTTTGAAAACAATTATGGTTTATGAGATTCAACTCAATTGTTATTTTTGACTTTGTTTGTGGTGCTGGTGAAGTGTATTAATATATTGCTGAGCCATATTGTAATGAAATGTCTTTTTATCAGCGTCACATCTACAGTGACAATTAAATTGTATCATCATTTTGTTTTCATTTCTTTAACGTTTTAAAAGAACATTATAACCTTTCTAAAATTATTGCAGGACAGCCTTATCATGCTGTATTGCTTTCAGCTAGGTAATACACTCGGAGTATTTCCATAGCTCTTTATCACCCAAAGAGTGATACCTTTGTTTTCTGCTCCCCTAGCCTACACGGTGCTCTCCAACAAGGAGAAGAGGAGGCTGTATGACCGTGTGGGCCACGAGGCTTTCCTAAAAGAGGAGGCTTCTGTTGACCCTGAGGATGAAGATGAATCAAGCTTCCACTTTCATTTTGAAGACCTCTTCCATGACTTCAATGATAGTCCTTTTGTGGAGGAATCAAACTTCCAATGGAGCTTTCATCAGGATGTGGAGGAAGAGGATGGTCCATATGAACAATACAGTTTTGAAGGGCCTGGCTTCAACTTTTATTTTGGAGATGATGATGAAAATGAAGACTTTTACTACTAGATTTCCCATATTTTAATCCTGTATTCTGTATGACTGTTTTAATGTGTTGTCTTTTAGTGATACCAAAGTCTTCTTATTAAATTGTTACGTCAGTATCTGTGTCCTTTATTCAGTATGTCAAATTTCAGGTAAATAGACTAATGTAGCTGTTTGTTTACGATAAAACTTGTAAGTTGAGTGGTTGTTTACAGGTTTGTTAGGTTGACAGTTGGGAGAACTCATTGGATAGTTGTGCCACTGTTCCTGTGTGGGTGTGTTTAAGGTCCTAAGTTACTGACTAACACACCATTTACTCATATTTTTCCCTGTGCCAGCACTTTAGATCTGGCACTGTTTTACTCTATTTCATACAGGACCAGTGTGCACTTTGACCCAGAGGATATCCTGTGCATTCTCAGCAGTTGGAGCGAGAGCACACTAAAGCCAGCACAGGACAAAAGATCTTTACAACTTAATGCACTTTTATCCAGATACACGGAGAATCAAGCATTCTAAAAACAGATACAACAGACTGGAATAACAAACTTACAAGCTGGAAAATGATGGTAAGAATGCCTGAAATTTTTGTTTTTGACAACCTCTATGTGTCATATGACTTTTACTCCATGGAAACATTCACATATACAGTGTGGAGTGGACTGAGTGAGGGTTTTACGCCCTTTATATTTAGCTTGCATACCAATGTAGAATTACTTCCAGCTGTTGTATTAATAGAATTGCTAGCCACATTTATTTAATTACAGGAAGAAGTGAAAGAAGTGACATCTACTCTTAGTGTCGACATTCAAAGCATCAAGGTAACAGAGATGGTGAAAGACGGGGACACACTTACCTTCCTTATTGAATCTGAAAAGGTGAGAAAAAGATGAATGTACTTACAAGCTTACAATATGAAATGCATCTTGATTAACAGGGAAATCCAGTTTTGTTCAGACTAAATGTCAGTGGCTTTGGATTAAAGTTTCAGCAAAATGAAACGTTATGTAATTATGGTATTGCAAGAACAGAATGTTACAATCGCATGTTTCCTCTGGTCTGTGCCAGCTGTCTGGGACCGGGGTGTACCATGTGGACCGGACTTACGATGATTTTGAATGGCTGCAGCAGCACCTTTTCTCTCAGGAGGAAGTGTCCGGGATACAGGGAGTCATAGTCAGTACTTTTTACCATCTGTGCAAACATTTCTGATAATAACAAGAAGATTGCAACTGAAACATCTCCAGTTTGTGCTTTGTCAGTGAAATGACAAAGCAAGATGTGGATTCTGTAGAACTGTTGAAAACTTCCTCTTTAAAGTGTGAGTGTTGCTTCATGTAATCTACAACTAATTACTGTAGCTGAGCCTTTGTTTATAACAAGTACAAGGGAATGATGTATTAACACACTTTTCTTACTGACAACATCACACACTTAAATGTTAACTTTATGTACTCACTGTTAATGCTTCCTCCTTTTGATTCCTTAAGCATATTATCCTTTCCTTTGTTATGAGGTAGCTGCTTTTAGGTCTGCCATTCTGTCGGCTGGCCCCAGTACTGTAGAACATTCAGTAAAAACGTTGTTGTCTGAATGGATTTTGTTTGAAGAAAATGCAACAGTACCCTGACAGGATGTTTTCTTTTTGACAATAACTTTGAAAATAAATCTTATTTTGACAAAAACTATGGATATTAATAACATTGTACTTTTTTTGTCTCTTGAAGTTCCCTCCTCTTCCAGTTAAGGCTCAAGTGAATGCATCTGCCAAGGTTATAAAACAGCTTGGTGAGTACAACCTAATTATTTTTCTCAAAAGTAAGACTTCAAATGAAAACAAACCAAATAGATTTCCAGTTTCTGTGTCTTTTCTGTAACACAGTGTTGAGTGTGATGAAAATGTTGTTGTTTTCCTGCAGGTATCCTTGGTTTAGGAGAGTGGCGGGCGTACTGTAAAGCCATGGAGACTTTTGTCCGGCAGATTGCCGCACACAGCATACTCGGCAAAAATAACGCTGTGGAGATCTTCCTGACCAGCTCAGATGTGAGTGGACACAAGTAAACAGCAGCCTGTTTTTTGTGGTACCCTTTTATGTTATGTTATAAAAGGGTACAACGTGATCCCCTTTTACGAGAGAGGCAGATAATAAAAGGTTAGACTTTCACCGACAATGTTGCAGAAGAGAGTATAGAGCATGTGATAAATACAAAACCCTTTATATATGGAGGACTGAAGGCTAGTTTCACCAGAACTAGTGTTTTATTTATGTGCAGGATGTCAAATAACAGCTGTACGTTTCAAACCAGCTCCCCTGTGATATCGAACATATATCAGTGGTGGTAGTTACCAGCTAACTGTCTAATACTCTGATGCTGAATACGTTTATATAATCATTGCTTTATCATAGTGTAATTGTAACAGTCTACACATTTTTTGACTTAAAAGAAGGGAGTGCCAGAAGTAAGACGCAGCTATAGTGGAACTTTGTCTCTACATAAACAAATGGGGGGGATACAAAATTAAACAGGCTGGTGAAATGTCACAAAATTAGTGCATGAAATGTTGTGGAGGAATCTAAAGGGGGAAGTGAGGTCCTCGCAAAACTCTGAGTCTGCTTGGTGTGCCTGCAAATGGCATCAAGAGGTTAAAATAATTCATGCCAATAAAGCATATTAGATTGAATTATTTTGATACCTTTTGTTTAGGCGGGATATTTAAACAAAAAAGAACTCCTCTTGTACGACTGTAGACTTTAACAAAGAATTGTTCCTCAGGTGCTGCACGTGACACAAACCATTTTCATGAGAAACAGGATGATATAAAAATAATAATAATATCAAAGTAAAGAGTGCACAAATTGAAGCAATGTATCACAACTCTGTATCATAAATGTAATGTCATAACAAGTATACACTGAGAAATATTGCCTCTAGACTGTAAAAAAGTCAGATTTTGTGTCTTAGACGTTTCAGGGTTATACTTGTCTGACTGAGTTTCATTGAGTCTGCAATGCTGTGTATCAAGCTTAAGAAATATGGGACAAACATATATTCTGATGTTCTTATAGACTTCCACTCATGTTTGGAAGATTTCATAAAACTTTGTATTCTTTTTAAACAGTATTAGTATTAAAATATGTTGTGCTCTTGTGTGTAGCCGCCAGGCAGACAGAGAGTAAGGAAAAACATTTTCAACCGCCTGAGTCAAGCCATGGAAGGGATGAGGAAAGAAGGCCATAAGGTACACAACTGAGACTTATACAATCAGAATGTACAGCCTAATCACATGCATTTTAGTTTAAACCACCATAATATCTATGTCACAGGATGTGGACGAGTTCTTTCAAACTGAACGTGATCATAACCTTGTTTTTACGGGCTGTGCCAAGACTGCAGCTGAGGTGAGCCAGTTAGTTTTTTGTTTGTATATGTCCTCCTCCTTTTTTATTTTTTCATTCAACCAAAAACACTATGGTTGTTTTTTTACTTTTGTCTTTCTTTCAGAGATTTTTGGATGTGGTGCAAACTGAGCAAAGTAAGACAACTTCATTCAAACTTTGGTTCTCATTATTTGGTGTTATTTAGGATTTATTTGTGCTCAGATGCAACAGCCGAAGTCTAAAGGAGGGTGTGTTAGTGTATTAGTGTCCATCCACAAATCAATGCAAAATAAATGTGTCTGATGTAAGTGTGTGTTACATGTTTTATTTTGTAGAAATAGCAGTTGCATGTGGGCACTTCTCAACTGCTCTGCGTCTCTGTGTGGAACAGGGAGAGGATCCTGACAAACTGGATTTCTCTAAGTGAGACAATAAAAGCTTTGGTAGCAGGCCAAAATCCCACACACTTAAAATAAATACCTCTCATTGTGTACAAGTAACAATAAGAGTATGAAAAACCTTTAACAAAACTCTCTTCTGACAGGGTTTGTGTGAAGCTGTCCGAAGTCTTTGATTCTATACAGGTAAGTTGTTTGGCCTTTTCAACAGGAATATATTCTCACAGCAATGCCCCATTGCTTTTTCAAATTCACTGCTTAAAATGTGCTTCTGTTTGGGCAGAAAAATGTGACAAGTGTCGCTGAGAACAACGTGAGTACTCTTGGGCTGGGCCTGGACCTGGAGTCACGTTACCAGGAGGCAGAAAAGGTGTGTCTTCTAGTTCTAAAGTCGTTTTATATTCATGTTATAAACCTTGAATCATGGCCTTCTATTGAAATATGACATGTCATAATGACACCATTTACTAATATAGTGTGCATGTGATTATAATGTCAAAATCAGGAGATGCTCTACAGGAGGACTTGCAAACTAGTGGAGTTAGAGACCACCAGAAGGAACGCAGAGAAGGCCAAACCAGTAAAGAAGGCTGCTGTGAGTACTTTAACATCAACTGTCTCATCACAACCAAGATAGGTTTTTAAATATTGAAGAAGTTTTGCCTAAATAATGAACAATAAGTCATCTGTGGGAGCTCTCAGATCCGGGTCTTCTCAAAAGGAATTGCAAACAGGAAACCGCTGCTCATGATGGATCAATTATTTGTCATATCAAGAAGAAAACTCCCTTTTTCACAATAAAAGCTTAAGATAATGATATTTATATTACTTACCTTTAGTAAAAAGTGAAATAAAGTAATGTGTTGCCATACCACACTGTGCAATAGGCTATATCATTCTTTCATGTGACCAGCAGGTGTCAGTAGTGCTCTGCTGATGTGATTCAGTAGAAGCGTATAGAGCAGGAAAGCTGATGAGAGGATGTTTAATGCAAGTATAATATCTATGAAGTATGTAATGATGATAACTGCTCCGCCTGTTCATCAGATGGAGGAGGTGAAGAAAGCAGCAGAGACGGAGTTTGATCACATATCAGGAGTGGCTAAAGAGGAGGTAAAATACCATATTTCAAGCAGGATTCTCTTTTCCATCATGTAACATCCTGTTTGTTTTTGATTAACCAACCAAATGTATTGACATGCATGTTGTGTGCGTCCCTCAGATTGCACGGCTCCAGGCTGCGCGTGTGAAGATGTTGCAGCAGGCTCTGGTTCAGTGGTGTGAAAAGCAGCTTCTTACCGCCAAAGAAAGTGCTGACCAGTTCGACCAGCACCTGCAGGC